GGGGACGCCCACCCTGTCGCTGGTGGTGGGCAGGGGGGCGCAGCCCCTGCGCTGCACCCGGACTGCTTCGGCCTCCCCACTGCGACCACGGGTGAAACACTGAAATAGCCCCATCCCTGGCATCGCACGCACCGCTCCACGCCAGCAGCAGGTTTGGGAGATCATACTCTTTTCCCATCCGAAAAAAAATAGGCCAAAGTTCCCGGTAATCCCTCTGTTACAGGTGTTCTTACTACAGCCTTGTGTGGACAGCACCTCTGGCTTACAGGGCTCTATTCTGCTACCCCTGGCCAAGGGCAAAGTACCAAAGTCTGCATCGAAAGGCAAAGTTTCTCAGTGGGTTTTGCCCCGATGCGGGGGGAGGCCAACAGGCACGCACCTCTGCAGCGGGGTGGGCTGGTGTTTAACAACTGCACTTCCTAAGTGGTGTTCGTGTACCTGGGGTAGATCAAGAAGAGCAGAATTGTGTAGGGAGGATCAATATAATTTATTAAACCAGTTGGTATATTTATCAACATCTGATACATGTACAAGTACTTCGGACAAGCAGATGCAATAAGGGGACAGACTAATCCTTTACTGTGGATTTTTCTTACCAAGGAACAAAGCCTTGAACCTGTGTCTCTCCAAGAAGTCCCCTTAACATTCAGCAAGTAAATCCTGCACCTAGCGTAGTTATCTGCCCCAAAGATGGTGTTTCACCATCGTCACAGCTCCAGCCAGAAAGCCGTGTCACCGACAGCTTGGCCAGTCCTCTGAAGGCTGGAAGACGTGAGCCAAGTCGCAGGTCTGTTGCTACGGGAAAAGTGCTCTGTCCCTTCCGTGCTTTTATATTAACGGCGTCACCACTCCTGTTACCATCATCGTTTTTAATTCAGATCTCCAGAAGGCTGAGATGGAGACCTAAACCCAGGACAGGATTTCATGCTCCAAGTACAAGTCCCACAGGGACACCTACCACAGACCACGCGTGGCCCTCGGGCCTCCTCCTTGCTTCGGGCTCTGGCTGTGGCAGCGCCCGCAGGGACCATTTCCGAGCCACCCAGTTCTCTCCCCCACCTCCTGGAGCCGGGTGCTGAACTCACCTACGTCCTGGAGATGCAGGTCTGTCCCCGAACACTGCAGAGATGGTCGAACACAGGAGCACCACAGGTCCTGCCCCCAAGTACCTATTTCAACAACAATCACATGGTAGGGAGCCCGAAGCAGGAAGGTATAGGAGTTAAATTTTGCATGCTCTGATACATTACTGTAGATTTTAATGTGCTACTTTCTTAGATAGTTTGAGGGATGGAGTAATTGCTTGATGCTGATTAAGTAGCAGAATCAAGAAATAAAATATCAATAATCTGTAAGCAGCTGTTGAATGGGATCTTTCATCTTGTTAACCTCAAGCTACCTTGAAAAATTTTGAAAAAACCCCACATTAAATATTTTTCTGGGGCTTTGAAAAGTGTTTACGTCTAGGTTTTCTATTTATAGATCCATTACCAAATGCATTTTTTGCCCCTAAACGAGAACTGCAAAGATAGTGAAAGATAACTTGTCTTCTGAAGAGGGGCAGGCCTTTCCTCACAGACTGGGTTTGTACCTCACAAGTTTGTTTCATTTTCCAGAGTTCAGCAATCAAAACCTCAGAGAATACATCTCAGTTGAGATTTACTGACCCTGTTTGCCTGCCGGCAGGTGAACCACAACACATTCCGAGATTAAGAGGTCCAGGGTACCTCTGAGGTGTGTGACATGTGATGTGGCATTTAACTGTCTTTCAGATTTCTCAAGTTAAAGCGGTGCTGATAAAATGCCACGCGGATCCCCTCCCACATGAAAGTCAAGCTGCATTTTGGACCCAAATGTTCTTATCCCACTCTTGCCCAAGGAGTAACTTATACATAACAGGTATGTAACTAGGTAGCTGTTGAGGGACCTAAAAAAGAGGCATTGAGGATTCATGCAAAATCTCATTTTCACACTAAGTACACTCTGCTTGCCAATAAAACCAGCAGTTCTGGAAAAAAGTCTCTTTCTCACGATCTTCCCATCTTATTCCTGCCAGGAACAGATTTGGAAAGCCAAATGAGGCATTTGGGTGCAGCTACACCTTTCGCACACAGATCGTGCCCTCGCTGAAGCACTTGGTGTAGGTGCTGCGGAGAGCGTAAGGTGGTTCACAGCTCATCTTCCAACAAGGCAAAAGAAGGAAGGAGGGCAGCAGGGTTTGGGAACCAGGGCAATTTCACACTGCTGGCAGTTACTGGAAATAATACCATTTGCTGCAAACTGTCCGTACATAGAAACCTTAAACTGGCACTTTGGGGTGCTGTGTTTCATGGCAGAGTTAAAATTTGTAACCTCTGGAAATGCTATCTGTATTTTGTGGAACATTAATACATCTCTGGTTACATGAAGTGCTGAAAACCAGCAACAATCTAGGGCACCGTGTAAAAACACAGCCTGGAAAGCAGGAAGCTATCTTAAGTACTTAATCTACCCTCTCACAGCATGACCTATATTTTTTCCACTGAACCTTCCAAAAAGGCAAAGGGTTTTGTTTCATGACTAAGTTCATACATGATCTTCGATTAGCATGATGGTTATGACCAGTGGTGTATTTTCAAGGACAACTGAACGCTCACGGACAGTTATAGGTAAATTGAACAGATGCACAAACCCTTCCCGAAGCTGATTTTTGGTGAATTTCTGGAAAAGCTCCTGGACATCCATTTCTAAGAAGTGCTAAACCACTGGTACTTTCTGGACAGCACAGGACCACAGAATCAATGCAATGCTAATCCTGAATTCACACAATGTTGAAGTCTGTACACCTGTAGACTATTTTGCTACCTGCAGTAATTACTGTGCTTTTAGAAAGGGCAAACAACAAGTATTTTAGTATGAGAACTGTTCAAGTAAGTTTTAATAGAGTGCACCAGTGAATCAAGATGACTTGCATCAGATTTTGTTTCAATGAACATCAGAAAAAAAGAAAAGGGGCTACAGTTCTTTCTTTCCAAACACCACCCTTTTTCTAAGGCAACAATACACGTCCATTTCCGAACATAACTGTTACATAGGAAAGCTACATCACAGTACAGTATGTAAAGTCCATCTCGGTCAAGAAGCCATTAGAGAATGGCACATTTACTACACTTACAGCCTTCTAACTTAGGGTTACAGAGTTTACCACAGCTTTTTTTTTTAATTTTTATTTTTTAAAGTGACAATTTCTTAATGAACTTTCTATTCTTCACAAGAGTGTGCAGATGGGGCCCATATGTTGATATTACAGTAATGACAACATTAAATAACATTGCACAACCAACCTCTATGGTTAATTCAGTACAAAATAACAAGTATTAAAATGTACCAGTACTAGTGGTTTTACATAGTTTATAATCATTAATTATGAAGGAAAAAAATGTGTTGTTTTTTTTTTTTCTTTTCTGTAGGCAAGTGCCTAATTACAAAGCTGCACATTACAGGCATAATGATGTGGAATAAATACAAGAAATCTGGTAAAATATTAAACACAAACAGGTTACATGGGAACAAACTGTACAACCACGAAAGCATAAATCAACAATTTATCATTATAAACAAGGTATGTTTAACTGTAAAATATTACGTGGAATTTCATGTACTCTTTGGGGGCACATGTTCCAAAAGCCAAGCTAATTCCTGAGGTGGTATTATTAACTTATACAATTGGTCAACACTTCAGATTATCTTGTGCTATTAAACAGTCCCAATATTAATGTATTTCCATAAAATGGAATTTATAGTATTCTGAAGGCAGCAAACAAGTGATATTTTACACTATGATATTCAAATGAAATAATTACGGTTCTCCATTTTGGTGCTACATTTGTTAATGGGCCATGGGAGTGAGCACTGTAATTTGCAGACAGAACATCACTTACACCCGGTTTCTGTTCCCCCACAGCTCTGAGCTGGCCCAAGGCAGAACAAAGTTTTTAAACTGTAAGTGCTAACACTGTAAACATGTTTGTTGTGGGTTTTTGTGTGTTTTGGTTTTTTTTTTTTATTTTATTTTTTTTTTCCCCAACCAAACACTGTCCAATAACAAGGATAAGAGCCAAAGATAAGCAGGAACGATCTCGCGTAGAACAAAAGCCGATTATTCATCAACTTTTGGTTCAAATCATGAACAATCTTTAAATAATTAAAAATGGTCACGCTACAGTTATGAAAACTATTTTTGTGCATTTGACTCAGGACACAAGTTTGTTAAAAAAATGCATGGTAGAGGTAAAGACTTATAAAAACCACCAAAAATGTAAACGATAGGGAAGAACTTTTTCAACTCAAAGCATCAAACATACATTTCTGTGCAGAAATCTAGACAACTATACAAGATCTGAATTTAAGCAGTCATCTTTTTATTATACAACTCTATGAACATAAAATGAACAGAATGCTCTATATACTTACCTGTACATGTGAACATAACTTCTTTAGCTACAGTTATTTAATATAGGTCATACTGGATTTAACTTTACAATTCTGAATAACTATGTATAACCTTATTGCAATAAGGGCAATTTCTACATGGGGAGTTTCACAGGCCAATCACATTAGGCGTAACCAGTACATTCAAAGTGTAGATCATGTATGAATCTTCCCTGATCCCAAAAAATTTAGGCTCTCTTTACAGCTTAAGCTCATTTGCTATCTTGGATGCAATGTTCTTAAATGCAATAGAAGTCCCAGATATTCTCTTGAAACGAACTCCATTGAGTGACAATCGTGGCAGTTTGCAGACTTCCATCTCCCACTGAACAAGGCTATCTTGTCGTGCATCGCCATGGACACAGAAGAGCAAAAACCTCTCTTTTTGTTCGTAGTCACAGTTATTAGCATCTAACACTTTCCGAATCTCTCTCATCATATCATTCGGGTCCATAGAACTAGTGGTCTTCATACTCCATGTGAACCGCAAGGAGCGTGGCTTCGAATCTTTGCTATCCTCCTTCTCTCTGTCTTTTGGCTCCCCAGAAGCACTCCTAGAAGAATTGACATACAGAACAGTCAAAAATAAAAGCAGTATAACCAAGAGATAGAAATACAGTTCTTGAACAGGGGTTTCTAAACTGCGACTGACATGCCACTAGTCACACGCAAGCTAATCCAAAGAGTTAGATGGATACTGTTGGAACAGTTGTGCACCATCTCCTGCATGCACGGGCACTTTGGCACAGCACTGGAAGCCGCATCAGTGCTGGTAGCAGCTCCCAGTAGTGGCACACAAGCAAAGCGAGTTTGGAAACCTCTGCTCTAAAATGTTCTGATGACAACATGTGCAATGATAACTGCAGCAGACACATGTTACTCCATACTGCTCCAAAGAAAGTGGAATCTATATAAAAGCATGACTGAAGTTCTGCTGATTTCATGATCTGGAGCATGCCATACACCAACAAAACTGAGGTTGAGGGACACAATCCTGAAGCGTAAACCATATTGTAAAAGCAGCAGAGGAAGAAATCCCACCCTGCGATTCACAAGTAGTCAGTTAATTCCCTCCCCTCTTCTCCGCCTTTCCCCTCTTTTGCATCTATTATGTATTTTTGACCTCTCTCTGTGTAAAAAGACCTTATAATAATGTGCTTTATTTTAACTGATGAAGCAGAATTTTGTGCCTTAATTTGGTTGTAAACAGTTTGTTTATCAACCAGTTCAGTACACAGCCAGCAGCTTTTTCTCAGAAGAAAAAGTGACATGTAGACACAAAGTATTTTAGTTGCTACAATGACTTGGACAAAATTTCAAGGGAGTAATTTCCAATGAATGTTCTTACTCTGACGCTTCCTTACTGAATAGATTACTTATTCCATTGTAGAAAGCATTTTGAGAAACAGCACTAATTATTTTAAAGTAATTCCACAGCCAACTCTTTCTGTTCTTGTCCCAGGTCCTTAAGATGCCTGATGCCTCCCCATTCATCACTGGGGAAAGGCGCTGTTCTCATTTTGATAGTCTATAAACTGCCGCTATTCAGAGAGGAGTCAAAACAAGCATCTTTAATTAAACTTTCAGTGTGATCCCCAGAGAACCACATCGATATTAACAGATAGAGCATGGCAGGGATAAGGTCTCAAATGACCTTAAGCCCAAAACAGACACTGTAGGATGACAAAAAGTAGAGGAAGCTAGAGAATAAAAGCAAAAGCAACTTCACACTTCATTTCATTTGAACATTTGATTAATCTCTCTTCCCTTTCCATGTCAAGAGTTCGACACCTAATAGACTTTGAATTGAAAAGGGCTAACAGATAAAATTCATTGTGTATTATAAAATGTATCCTGTTAAGAATGTGCTGCTTTTTTTTTTAAAATAAAGGCTTTCTGTTTTGAAAAGTAAGTTGATACTTTCTGTAAGTGACTAGTTTCGAATGCAAACTACAATGCCTGTTCATTAGAGAGCATAAAAATAAGAAGTTACACACTGTGCTAAGCACACCAAAAATGCAGAACCAAATGCTGCAACATGGCAAAACAGCAGATATACTGGAAAATGGACATATGAAGGAATGCTTTATTACTAACAAAGCATCTATAGTTTTGTGTACAGCAGTTGCCATACAAATTCAATATTTAGCAGTCACCACCCTTTTTGTCTGAATGTCACATTTTATTTCTCAGCGCAAAGTGACATTCATTTCTCAGGGACTATAAGGTGTTTACTTCTGGCAAACAGCAGCTTTAGTAATGAACACAGTATGTAACTATAGCAGAAATTTAATATATACATATATATACACAGACACAAAGTATACTACATTTTCCACTGGAACCAAAAAGTAAACACCATTAAATATTTATAAACCAAAACATGATTTTAAGTGCCTAAATGATTGGTTAACTCCTACAGGGGGCTTTATTATTCAAAGAAATATGCTTAAATAAAGTTTCATATTAAATACTTCGCAAGAAAGAAAAATGAAGGATAAAGGATGTCACCAAAACCCCCTCCCCCCAAACAAAAAACATTTTTGAAATGAAGATTACTTAAGCACTATTCTATTTTACATCCTGATTAAAAATCTTTAAGAAATCACTTAAACCTTGATGCGAAAGACCTAGGAGCGAAGTATTAATAGTGGCTCCTCACCTTGAGGTGTCAGTTCTGCCACTGGCTTCGCCTTCACTTGGATCCCTCAAAACAAAGTTAAGGTTGAGATTCAATGATAAAGGTGAAAAATAAAAGTTAAGAAAACCTACATCTAAAACAATGTTAAATAGCTACTGGGAAAAAAAAAAAATCAGTATAATAATGTCAAGCCTAATACTGTTTAATAGTATTTTTTCACAGCTGTAATTTTAAATTCCCTTTATGATACCTTAACTTCTTTCAGCTCTGACATGTAATTGTTTAATTTTTTTAATTTTTTTTTAAACTGATGGTAAAATTAACACATTGTTCTCAACCTACTGCAGACAGATCAACGGCCACATGCAATTCCAGCAAGCACAGAGGAGCAGTCGATCAAGGTGGTCCAAGGGGGCTCCACTCTGCACCCTTCTGGGTCAGGCCTTCAGACCTCAGTCCTGAAAGCACTTAGGTACATGCCCATGCTTAAGCACACTCAAGTAATTAAAGATAAGATGTGCCTAAGAGTTTGCAAAACCAAATGTTTGGAGCCCAGTTCAGAAAGGTTACTTCAACATCTGCTTAACTTTAAGCAAATCAGCTGTTACATTGACTTTGGTAAGATTACAGGTGAGCTTGAGGTTAAATATATCTTTTTTATCTTGTTGAGTAAGAGCTGTACTTTACCAAGGTACTGTTTTGTATTATGCCTTTTTAATCTGAAGTAACTTGAAAAATATCCATAGATTGAGTAAGCCACCTAGGTATGTTCCTAGTGCTGCTGTACAAACATTTTAGCACCTAATTTCAATTAGCTAATTAATTTAATACCTTCAAAATACAAATACTTTAGTAACTAACATCAGAGAAGTATTATTTGACATAAACCATTTATACAAAATACTTCAATACCCTATTCATTAAGCATTCTCATTATGCAGTTATTTTATATACTTACCAAAAAAGGCATTTACCTTTGCCAAAAGACAGTAAAAAGGAGTCTTTCATGACACCTTCTAGTCAAAGTATGCTTTAAATCATTATTTCCTGAACAGTACAGAAGTTAAAAGGCATGCAGTTATGTGATCCAACTAAAAGAACAGCAACCCCCCCAAAACCTCCACCCATGTAATCCCAGCCACTAAAGTCTCAAACAACCCAAAGTTTAAGAAAACAAAACCACAACAAAACACCAACAACCCCCCCCAGCAACAAAACAAACAAAACCCTACAAAGCCTTCACTATAGGAAAATGTATTTTTAGCAGTATAAAACATAATAGGAAGTTGTATAAAAATGTTCTACAGTAAAGATATTTTAAAATTAAGATATCAATTTACAATGTTAATTCTAAATACATAGTTTACAATATTATTTTAATATTGTAGTTCAACGTAACAAAAATATTAATTATTTGATCTGACTCTCCAAAAAAAATTCAAGATATCATTCCTTGCAAATAACAATGAGCTATACTGCAAAAAACCAGCCTGTGCTCTTGAAATTGATTAATTACTTAACAGAAAATACCTTTCTTCCCATTTGGGTATCTACACTGACAACACAGTTGACTAATTTCGCTGTAAGTGTTTTTTTTAATTATTATTTTAAAATCAGAGAACAAACTCTGTCCTCCCAACTATCTAAGTGCTGGAGATAACAATAATAAGGGATCATAGTCCTGTATCTTCAGGTTTCTGAAAAAAGAAATTCACATACTTTTTTATTTTTAGGTCATCATAGGAGGTATTATAGACACATACTGACGCACTATCAGCTCACCAGGTTAAATCAATTTTGTGAGTAACATCACTGCATTTCTAGCTTTCTCTCTTCCCTCGTAACATCACCTTATGCAATTCATGATATTTTACTTACAAATTTGCAACTACTAGCTTAATCTAGCTTTGAATTTATGTTTTTGGGGGAGGTGTGTGTGTGTGTGTGTCCCCATGACAGAATTCAGTACATAATGGTATGATTCTGCGAAGAAAATAGACGTTCCCAAGATATTTCTCTTATAAAACTGACAGTAATGCAGTATGGACAGCTATAAATCTTAAACCTACTTACAGATGGTAAATCACTGTTAGAAAGAGGCAAACTGGAAATTAAGTCCCCTTTTGGGAAAGCTATTGTGACTGCTAAGTCAATAGTCAGTTAATACTGAACAATGTATCTGAAAATCTTTCCCAGCACCTCTCCTCACAGTATTATTACTGTTAGCATCATCACAGGAATGAAAGCAGGTCCAGGATGTGTGGGTTTTCTTCTTTCAGAACCCTGAACTTGCATTTGAAGAAGCTGGCAACATAAGAGAGGCTGCATGATACTGAAATATTAGTATTTCCAGACATCCAGACTTCTGCCCACTTCTAAGCTTCTCATTTATTCACAGATTTTAGAATTCCCTGAAATAATTTGTTAATACCTATTCCCTCTGAGCACAGCAATAAAATCATTGTAAACACAGCCCTTGCAACGAAGTGCACCCAGTTAAAAAAGTAAAGTATTGTTAACATTAAGTAATGACTCATTTTTAAGTCACTGCTTTCAGTATTTAAGTTCATTTGATTTTAACTGAATTGTAGCACCTTTGTATTTTAGCTGTAAAGCATGAGCAAAAAAACCTTTTGAGTAGCATTCTCTTGCTCCTTTAAGATAAAGCAGCAGAATAGCTGGTCAAACATAATGGTTACAATATACACAGAGAAGTAAAACAAGGCAGGTTCTGGAAGGAAGACACAAAACAAGCAGCATTCTAACTAAATTTACATTTACTTCAGACTTAAATTGGAAATTCTCAATGACTTCGCAATTATGGCCCTAGTTACAGGCTGGGCTTTTTTTTTTTTGTCTCTTAAAAATTGAGGTACTAACCTGCGAACAAACTTGGAAGTTATCTTGCTTATTATACCAGCTGATGTCCCTCTTCTAGCATGTGCAAAAGCACCGGTTTCATGTGATGGTGAGGCGGGCGGTCCATTGTAAGTGGCATTACGCCGCTCCCTTAGCTGCTCACCATGGAAAGTGCTTCGACTTGAACTCCCCCGAGGAAAGCGGGTTCGGTCTGGAGTGGTAGTGCTAATACTATGAGCAGACGGGGAAGCAGCAGGCACTCTTTGAGTTGCACTGCTGGGAAAACAGAAGCATAAATAAAGAGAAAGACTATGCTAGAAACCCTCCTACATGACAACCATTTCTCAAAGATAGGGAAAAAACCCCGCTCTTGTTGTTTTGTTTGTTTGTTTTTTTTTTAAACCTGAATCTGCTACTGATTTGCTTTTATGATTCACACTTAGAAATAATCAAGAGATATTTTCATATCAAATCATCTCAAGTATTAAAAGCAGTTAAAAAAAAGTATACACAGATAGTAGCACAAAGGAAAAAGGTAGAAAAGTCTGTAATAAGATCTGAAAATGTTCCCAGCCCTCTTCCAGAAAAATATGTTCATCAAAACCTTTAACACACAAGCACTCCAAAAACTTAACAGATATTTCTTAAGAAGTAATTACCTGGCACAAATAAATGTATAAAGCTATTCGGGCAGTTAATAGTAATTGCAACTATACTACAGTGCTTTTAGACAGAAACGAGTCTATCAATCTACAAAACCAAGAGGTTAACATTTCAGTATTTCATTTGAATTTATGGTGGCCTGTGACATACGGTCCTGTCTACATTAGTTTAATTTTTAACTACTTAAGTTTTCCAGAAGCTTCCAGAGGGAGGCAGTCAAGGAACTTCTTTAACTGTATGCGAACATATGTGATGAACAAAATCAGGCTTAAATCATCTGTAATACCCGTACTACTTGAGCAAGCTACTGTTTTGAAACAGAATGCAACTAAATCTATTGTTTTGAACAGATTACAAACATATTGAAGTATATCATGAACTGAACAACAACATTTTTAAAGTGCACAGCATTAAAGAAATAATAATCGATTTATTACCTTGGTCGGTAAGCTTCAGTGCCATCTTTGATGGTTGGCAGTGTAACTTTTATAGGATGACCAGAGGCAGACATAGACTTTTGATGTCGAGGCCGTGTTGATAGAGCAGAAGCTACTGCAGAGCCTGCAGAAGATGTGCTACTCACGGACATTTCTGTTAGGCTTTTACCATGGCAGCAAGGCAGGAGGGATGGACAAATTAAAAGGGAAAAGAAAGGTTAGTGTAAAACCCCATAGAAAACAAGGGAAAATATCAACTCATCTCTTCTTTTAGAACATAGCAAGTGTTGTTTAAAAAACAAGACTGAGTGACCAGGCTGCTTTAGTCAGCTAAAGTACAGAATTCTGAGAAAATTATGTTCATCCATAAATCAAATCACCGTATATGTTAAATTAGGCCTTTTCATTCCTCCCAAGATTAAATCTTACACACACATTATTCAAAGCAATGAAGAAAGACTACAAAGAGTCCATGGAAATAGTAAAAAATACTGAGAAAGAAATTCACAAAAGACTTAAAGAGATTGATTGTATAGACTCTCCTTTTGTGAAATTAATATCCTCATTTTCAGTTAAAACTCAAACACCTAAAACTTCAAACATTTGGAACGCTGTCACATTATCACTTGGAAGGGACTGTGTTTTTAAAGGACTTTCTCCTCTGGACTATCCCAGCCACTGCTAGGCTGGGCCAACCCTTTCAAAATACAGTTTCTTCTACTAGTACTTTTATTTCTGTTTTGCCTAAGTGGCAAGGAAGAGATGAAAGTTGTGGCAAAACTATTGTGTTATTAATTTTTAAAACAAAAGTCAAATGACTTAAGCCAAATTACAGCTTTGCCTCTACAAGCATAAATGAAATTGCATTAATAATGTATTAGCAACAACAGTCCCAAAGCTAAATAATATCTGTAGCAAAGAAGTAAAAGATTTTGGATGCATAATCTGATGACACAAGATGTTCAGCTATACCAAATCCAAATTCAACTGCAACACAATGTATTGTAGGAAAGGCAAATATACAACTCAAAAGAAAATTCTTCTCCTTAATTTTTCAGAATATGCTCAAAGAGCTGAGCATATTCATTGCACTCAGCAAAGGAAGAGAAATTAAGAATTGTCTGTCTATTCAATACTATAGAAAAATTAAATATAAACTGTAAAATGAAAAACTTTGAAATAAAATTTCTTCTCATTATAGTGCTTGGTATTAAATCTATTGAAAGAAAAACTTTATCAATCTTTGTGAGATCAGAAAAATTATTTTAGTATATATTTTAGCCGTCAATCTAAAAAGTGTATGTTATCTTCTTTCTTTTTAAAAAAGGATTTTTACAAACTTTGTTCAAATATTTTAAGCTATACACAAAAATTTGGAAAGACACTTTTGAAAGCACTCATCTAATAATTTGAAATTAATTAAATACTGAGAATTAGTTTGCTTTTTAATGTACCTCCTTAAAGCATTTTTAATAGTTGTACTTTACATGTTCCATAGCTCATCATTTTACTATAGATCAACATCCAATACTTTTCCTATTTCCAAAATTAAATGCATCCTTAAAAAATTCAAACACTAAGACAGAAAACAAAACCAAAATAGCTTATTAGATTATTTCATGCTAGGGATTTTTTGATTCATTTTACCTTAACTGTTTTATTTAAATAGCTTAAAGAAAAAAATCAGAGTAAGATCTATTGCTTTAAACTAATAGAATCCAGTTTTTATTACTCTCCATTAAAGCCAATGTTTTATTTTTCAGCCAGGTATAGGGTCAATTAACACCAAGGACGAACAAAGAACATATTTTAAGAGACAGTAATTGTAGCAGTGTTAATTACAACAGTATTTAACAAAACATACTAAACTGAGTGTAATTATCATCCCACACACAGATACAAGTTGGTTACCATCACTACTAAAATATTTAGGCCAAAAAATGATATTGAAAAGGATCACTAAGTCTTAACAGTTTAAACTTTTTGAGTTATGACTAGGACAAATGAAAAAGGATCAGGCTACGCTGAGGGTGATCCATCTGAAGTTCTCCACAGCAGAACTGCCTACCTAGTTGTGAGCACAGTTACTTTACTCCGTGTTAGAAGACAACCCGTGGTAATAAATGTGATTCCAGAAGAAAAGGCAAAGGCAGATCTACACGTTTTGTTCTAAATTTCATCACAAACATAGAAACTGCAGTAGAAGAGGAGATGAAAAACATACAGAAGGACTTGATGTCTTTCACATCATGCTTCATTACGGTTGGACTTGATGATCTTTGAGGTCTCTTCCAACTATAATGATTCTATGATTCATAGTGGTATTTATTAATTGCATAACCTGCTGCTTCTATTCCTCAGTTCTTGTACCCAAAATAAGAAAAAGTTGAAGAATACCTGTTGTCCTTCCCATTCTGTATTGCAGAATAGCGATCTGAAGAACGTTCACAAACATAAGTGTTTCTCCTTGTCATTCCACTACCAGAAAATACATTATTCTAGAAGAAAATTAAGACTAAATTAAATACTTTCTTCTACTGTATATTATGTTGTACAAAAGTGTAAGCATTGGAAGCAAATAAAATAGAGTTTCAGCTGTTTACGTATATTCTTAATGTCTTCAAATGTACTAGGTTAATCTGTTGACACAAATCATTTATATCATCAGCTACTTTTTTCCAATAGTTCATTCACCATCTCATTACTGTACCATTGAGAATATGCTAAAAGAAAATGTAGAGGAATTTAATTCTTCTGACACTTGCTCTACGAAGTATTATTATCCAGTTCCCACATTCTGTGTTACTGAATTATTTGTCTCTGGGATCAAAGGAACAAACTGGAATCCCAGAGAATACATCTATCTGGCTGGTTGAAAGGCTTCCCTGTGCAGATTAGGTTGCCAACTACAGCTCCAGCCTTACAGTTTGTTGCCCCGTGTAAAAAGAGTTTTCAAGAGAGAAATTAAAATATTATTGATCTGCATCAGTCAACCCAGAAATTATGATGCTGATAACATGGCAAATAGGTCTTGTAGCAACAAATACTGATGGGATTTTCTTTCTGTTACTAATTTCAGTTTGCACACACTTCATAAAATACCTACAAACATTCTTCTCCTCCCCCTGCCACACACAGATTAGCTGCCTAAGACTTACTTTCAGTACCTGATGTACAATTCTCAGTTTTTAATACAGTACATATTGAATTTGGGGTGGGAGAGGTTTGCAAAGTGCTAACATTACATACTGATGCATGCTAGCAAAAGACTTCAGATACACCAAACTCTGGTACCATAGGACATCATGAACTCTGCAAGATTTACTATGTGTTTAGGTCTCCCTCATTACAGCTTTTTGGCATTAGTATCATGCCACAGAGACTACTGAATAAACTGTTTCAAAGCCAATTCATAAGGAAGATTAATTTCAAAAACAGTTACTGCAGTTGTTAAACTCTCTGAAGTTAGACTAATATGACTGAAGGTGATAAACATGTTTTTAAGAAATCTTGCCTTCTTAACATCATGTTACCCTCAAAGTTACACAAAAGTATTTTAAAATTATCCACATTAAAGTTATCCACATTAAATTTGCTTTGTTGATTTTAAATGTTTGAGTTTTAAAAAACAAATTTATTTTTTTCTGTGTAAGCTGCTCCACCTTAACTACTGTTGCAATATCAGACACCACTATTCCTTAATCGTGCCTATCACAAAGCCTTTCACAAAGAACCCATAACAGTAACAGATCTAAAAATGTGCAAATACTGAAGTTGCCATTAGCAAGTAAATCAATTTCTCATTCTCCATAGCAAAGATACTCCATTTAATTAGTTCTCACAAAGCAGAGAAATGCTTTTGACATATCAGTTTGTACCATACATGACTGTAATCAGCTTTGGGGCAACACAGTTTTGGGAAAGCTCAGATATGAAATCTAATCTTAGAAGACTCAGAGTTCCTGCATGTAATCCACACAGCCATGATCTCAAAGACTCTTTGTGGAGGTAAAAATAACTCTATTTAAAATTAAAAAAAAAAAAAATATGTTTAAAGCATCTGCAGATGTATTGCAGACACAGCCTGCAGAACATTAAGAGTTAAATGAACTTCAGCATTTATTTTGTTTAAAGAGAATTCTAGCAGAAATGCATATCATCCCAGCACATAGAATCCCAAAGGACAATGAGAATTCCTTTTTTCTACTGGATTAAAAGATGGCCAGAATTTTTGTATTTAATACAGCACATCTCTTAAATAGTAGAAAATATACTTGAGTCTTAAATTACGATTCATGCTTTTTTTTTTTCCCCCCACATGAACTCTTCCTCCTAACTAGCTGTTTAAACACCATGCAATATTTTTTCATTGTGTATCCTAAACACTAATACTACTGCACATAAACTTCCACAAGGCAAAGTAGATGCTGTCACATTAGGAGAGACAGACTCTTCTATTTGGAACAAAGATGTCTGAGTCAGTAATATGATAGCAGTTTACAAAACTATGAATGATATCATAACAGAAGAACTAGCAAATTAGCTATTTCTTAATTCAGAACCAGGTTGTAACTCGTAACATCGACAGGCACACACACCAGTGAACAAGTGGGTTGTTCCCCGTCACCTCACCCCATTTCTGAAGTCCAAAATGAAGTGGTCTCAGAAAGCTAAACAGACAAATTTACAGAGAAAAAGTTATGAGGGATATTATCTAGGATTATTCAGATGAAATCTCTGATTCAGGAAGTCCCTTGACTTTCTTATAGATGCACAAGCATTAGACACCAGAAAAAGAGCACTCCATATTGGCTCTGTTGTTCCCTAAATGTCCACTGTTTGTCTTGACAGATCTTCAGTTTGCCCAAGTGCAGACATTCTTGTGCTTACTGTTATGTTAGTGCTAGAAAAAGTAAAGTTGGGGGGGGAAGGGAAAGGTTTATTTTAAAAGACATCCACTGTAGCCTATTTCTGTCTGCCAGTAAAACTTACCAGAAATAGACTTAGTGGCTTATTCCGTAACCATTATGTCTATAGTAACCTTATGCTGCAGATTTAGTTTAAATAAGGAAAAATAACTGTAACAAGCCAAAAGCCCACACACTCACACGAGGAACTGTAGTTGATTTCTTTCTTTCTGGACCCACAAGTGGACTTGCAGCCATCTCTCCTTTGGATCCCACTGTAGTGCTGCTAAGTTTGCGTGAGACATCCTTGTCCCAGTCTTCTTTCTGCTCACTTTCCACACTATTTGCCTGAGCCCTTTTGGTGTATGAGACAGCAGGAGGAATTGAGGGACCAACTGCCAAATAAAAACAGTATTAATAAATACCTAAAAATAATCACTGCATTTTTCTTGGCCAAAATAATCTAAATATAATTCCCCAAGTCCAAAAAAAAGCATTTGAACAACTATGGCTGCAAACTCAGCACATATATCAACCTATTAAATTGAGCTTTGACAGCCTACGTTCTTTTTGCCCACTCTCTCTTCATTACCAATTTACAGTTCAGAATTAGTTCCCATTTCACATCAATATGTAAAACCTAGAAGAGTATTTTAATTCTCATTCTAAACCCATGCACTTTGTGCAATATTATGAAGAAAGGAATTAGAAGATACTTTTCAAATTATTTTTTTAGTACTTTTTGCTGCATATCTTTTTCTCTAAACACTATGAAAGATCCTTTTGCCCTGAAAACCCTAGAACTACTTTATTTAAAAAGCATGTTTATACTTGGAAAAATTACAATTCTTTCCCCCTCATCATTCTTTAAAATGCTTTGGGGCAAATTCACCAACCATGGAATTTTACATTTCCTTGAAATAAAATCACATCAGCTAATTGTCTTCACAAGACTGGTTACTTTTTAGGAAAAAACAACACCACACTAACACAGAGGGAGAAGAGTCAAAAAATGGGGGAAAAATTAGAAATAACAATGTAAATTAGGCAGAGAAAAGGGCTAAACGTTCTAGAAATATTTCTAGTAATTTGATAGCTCTCCTCGAGGGAAAAAAAGGCACCTTTCATTTAATATTTTAAATATGCACTCCTTTTTTGATGTAACCACTTTCACCTGAAAATGTTTCCTGAATACTTGGTAAAATTGTTCTCTTGGAAACAAACAATCTGGCCCCAATTCCAAATGTACTGATAAACATAATGGTTTGCTGCCTTTGAGTTTATCCAGACCAATATTTTGCCACTAATTCCTAAACAGGAAACATCCTCAAGCTCTTATTTCATGCATCAGCCAAGTAACAAGTCCAAAAAATTAAATCTGTAAGTTACATTGACCCAGATTTACCATAGAAGCATTCATACAAATAAAAGCATCACAGCGGAGCACGATGAGATACACAACAAATGCACACAGTGGTGGACCTGCCAGGTTCACAAAACACTGCACATTCAGACTTAAATTGTGTATGTTACTTTACTTGTTGGAATGTCATCCCCACCATGATCACTGAACCGCCGCTGTTTCTGATTAGTTGATATACTCCGTTGGACCTTCAGGTGAGCAGGAGACTGCACAGAACTGTTGTTGAGGTCGCTGCTAGGACGAGACCTCTGACCCAAGTTGCTGCTGGACAAGGACTCACCTCCTTCAAACTAGAAGAAAAAGTTTTTCAAAGCATAAACAAAATTCAACATTACTGGTACTTTCATGGCATAATAAAATAAAGAGTTCCAATCAAAGGCATTTGTTTTAATTTAAAATTGTACCCAGAGTTTAATTTTCTTCAAGATTAATTTTATCACTTCATCGGTGTTTAACGTGCTTTAAACACACATATGTAAAGCTAAAAAGTTAATGACTACTCAAAACAAAATTAGAAGAATCTTGACAGTAACCAAAACTGTTCTATTTTAAACCTAAGCCAAAGAATGGCTCCCCTTGCCTTTTTTTTTTTCCTAAAGCTTAAAGAGCATTTATAGCTTCAGAGCAATTTCAAAATGCATCAGATTGAGTCAGAAGGGCTAAAAAAGCAAGTACTACTGATTCGAGGATTCTTTATGGCCTTCAACACATCTTTATAAGGTATGTAACTCAGCCACTGGTTTCTTGACATCCAAGAAGCCTAAGTTGTAAGAGCAGTGGAAAAGACAAAACACCTCTTCCAAGCAGTTTGAGTCAAAATTGTTCAAGACACATTCCCTCTGTGCTCTGCCATCACAAGGGAATTCTCGTTCAGAGATGTTGTGGGAAAATGCACTCAAGGACGCATATATCAGATCTACACTATCTTCGAAATGAAGGAAGGCCAATGAAGCAGCAGGAAAAAAATTCCTTCAAAAAGAAAGCCTCAGTCTCGACTTGATTTCCCTGTGGTCCCAAGAGATCTACAGATCCCTCTAGTTCCAAGACAGTCAAAAGATTTTCTATCACAAATTTATTAATGACTATAATGCAATTATTTATTAAATAATTAAATATACTGTAAAATAGTATATCAGTGAGAAAGGGTGAGTACATTTCTGAGAAATAAAGGATGTTACATCTTGGTAGTTAGAAGAATAATTACTTTAGTCAAATTAACTATTTCAGATTTTAACTGTAAACACACATGACAGGAAGAAGATTCAGCACTTGCAAGTCAAGCCACTTCAGATTAACAGCTAGCTTTTTTAAAAAAAAACAATTCAACATATTACAAGCAAATGTGAAGACACTAGATTCAATCCGTTTCTTCATTATCAGAACTAACAAGATATCCAAGAAGGTTTGAAAAGGGAAAGACATTAATAAGTTATCAATCACAACTTTTTTAAAAAGATGTTACAAAATAGTTCATAAAAACATGGACAACCAGAACATTAAACCCAGCCAGATATAAAGGCCAAATAGAAGATGTAAATTAGGTAGTACTTACTTCAGGTGGTTTTCTACCTAGAAGGAGATAAGTAGCCATGACTTCATCATACATTTGGTTTACTAAAGATTCATGGATTTCTTCTCTTGAAAAGCCCATTGTGACCATAATTTCTAAAAGTAAAACAAGCTAGATACATTAGCAGAATAAGTGCTTGGGTTTACTGACAACTTAAGAACAATGAAAACAGAAAAGCACTTGAATCCTAGTTACCTATTAAATTACAACTCAATCAGCATCATCTTTGCTGTGCAAAATTGAAGAGGCTACAACTCCCCTCCTCCATTATTTTCTTCTTCAAAGTTCTCAACTATGTTATTCAACGTGGTTCAACATTATTCAACATTAAATGTTATTCAACGAACAAGTAAAACACTGGCAAATAGAAACTATGAATAGCTACAGGGCCA